ATATAATAATAATATAGAACGATGGTGGTGGTGATAATAAAAATATAATAAAATATATAATATATTAAAATATAATAATAATATAGAACGATGGTGGTGGTGATAATAAAAATATAATAAAATATATAATATATTAAAATATAATAATAATATAGAACGATGGTGGTGGTGATAATAAAAATATAATAAAATATATAATATATTAAAATATAATAATAATATAGAACGATGGTGGTGGTGATAATAAAAATATAATAAAATATATAATATATTAAAATATAATAATAATATAGAACGATGGTGGTGGTGATAATAAAAATATAATAAAATAATTATAATAAAATATATAATATAATAAAATATAATAATAATATAGAACGATGGTGGTGGTGATAATAAAAATATAATAAAATAATTATTATAATAAAATATATAATATAATAAAATATAATAATAATATAGAACGATGGTGGTGATGATAATAAAAATATAATAAAATAATTATAATAAAATATATAATATAATAAAATATAATAATAATATAGAACGATGGTGGTGGTGATAATAAAAATATAATAAAATAATTATAATAAAATATATAATATATTAAAATATAATAATAATATAGAACGATGGTGGTGGTGATAATAAAAATATAATAAAATATATAATATATTAAAATATAATAATAATATAGAACGATGGTGGTGGTGATAATAAAAATATAATAAAATATATAATATATTAAAATATAATAATAATATAGAACGATGGTGGTGGTGATAATAAAAATATAATAAAATATATAATATATTAAAATATAATAATAATATAGAACGATGGTGGTGGTGATAATAAAAATATAATAAAATATATAATATATTAAAATATAATAATAATATAGAACGATGGTGGTGGTGATAATAAAAATATAATAAAATATATAATATATTAAAATATAATAATAATATAGAACGATGGTGGTGGTGATAATAAAAATATAATAAAATATATAATATATTAAAATATAATAATAATATAGAACGATGGTGGTGGTGATAATAAAAATATAATAAAATATATAATATATTAAAATATAATAATAATATAGAACGATGGTGGTGGTGATAATAAAAATATAATAAAATATATAATATATTAAAATATAATAATAATATAGAACGATGGTGGTGGTGATAATAAAAATATAATAAAATATATAATATATTAAAATATAATAATAATATAGAACGATGGTGGTGGTGATAATAAAAATATAATAAAATATATAATATATTAAAATATAATAATAATATAGAACGATGGTGGTGGTGATAATAAAAATATAATAAAATAATTATAATAAAATATCTAATATAATAAAATATAATAATAATATAGAACGATGGTGGTGGTGATAATAAAAATATAATAAAATATATAATATATTAAAATATAATAATAATATAGAACGATGGTGGTGGTGATAATAAAAATATAATAAAATAATTATAATAAAATATCTAATATAATAAAATATAATAATAATATAGAACGATGGTGGTGGTGATAATAAAAATATAATAAAATATATAATATATTAAAATATAATAATAATATAGAACGATGGTGGTGGTGATAATAAAAATATAATAAAATATATAATATTATAAAATATAATAATAATATAGAACGATGGTGGTGGTGATAATAAAAATATAATAAAATATATAATATATTAAAATATAATAATAATATAGAACGATGGTGGTGGTGATAATAAAAATATAATAAAATATATAATATATTAAAATATAATAATAATATAGAACGATGGTGGTGGTGATAATAAAAATATAATAAAATATATAATATATTAAAATATAATAATAATATAGAACGATGGTGGTGGTGATAATAAAAATATAATAAAATATATAATATATTAAAATATAATAATAATATAGAACGATGGTGGTGGTGATAATAAAAATATAATAAAATATATAATATATTAAAATATAATAATAATATAGAACGATGGTGGTGGTGATAATAAAAATATAATAAAATATATAATATATTAAAATATAATAATAATATAGAACGATGGTGGTGGTGATAATAAAAATATAATAAAATATATAATATATTAAAATATAATAATAATATAGAACGATGGTGGTGGTGATAATAAAAATATAATAAAATAATTATAATAAAATATATAATATAATAAAATATAATAATAATATAGAACGATGGTGGTGGTGATAATAAAAATATAATAAAATATATAATATATTAAAATATAATAATAATATAGAACGATGGTGGTGGTGATAATAAAAATATAATAAAATAATTATAATAAAATATCTAATATAATAAAATATAATAATAATATAGAACGATGGTGGTGGTGATAATAAAAATATAATAAAATATATAATATATTAAAATATAATAATAATATAGAACGATGGTGGTGGTGATAATAAAAATATAATAAAATATATAATATATTAAAATATAATAATAATATAGAACGATGGTGGTGGTGATAATAAAAATATAATAAAATATATAATATATTAAAATATAATAATAATATAGAACGATGGTGGTGGTGATAATAAAAATATAATAAAATATATAATATATTAAAATATAATAATAATATAGAACGATGGTGGTGGTGATAATAAAAATATAATAATAAAATAATTATAATAAAATATATAATATAATAAAATATAATAATAATATAGAACGATGGTGGTGGTGATAATAAAAATATAATAAAATATATAATATATTAAAATATAATAATAATATAGAACGATGGTGGTGGTGATAATAAAAATATAATAAAATATATAATATATTAAAATATAATAATAATATAGAACGATGGTGGTGGTGATAATAAAAATATAATAATAAAATAATTATAATAAAATATATAATATAATAAAATATAATAATAATATAGAACGATGGTGGTGGTGATAATAAAAATATAATAAAATATATAATATATTAAAATATAATAATAATATAGAACGATGGTGTTGGTGATAATAAAAATATAATAATAAAATAATTATTATAATAAAATATATAATGTAATAAAATATAATAATAATAATATAGAACGATGGTGGTGATAATAATAAAAATATAATAAAATAATTATTATAATAAAATATATAATATATTAAAATATAATAGAACAATACCCCCCCGTGACTAACCCAACCAACTGGATGGCTTGGAGGGGACTGACTTGCCATGGTGGGAGTTGTAGTTTACCCAATAGCCAGAGAGCACACTGAACCCCACCCATGATGCATCCCAACGAAATTGACCTAACATGACACACTTTAAGGAGTGATGGAGTTTCTTGGAGTTCACCTGGCATGATGGGAGTTGTAGTTCACCGACAACCTTGTGCAATTTCGTTCAGTTTGGGTCACCAAAGCAACCCAAATCCATACATGGCAGGGGAATCCCCGTGAGTCAGGCCGCAGCGCGACCAATGTGGCGCATGGCCTTCCACATCCGCCGCGATGGTTGTTTGGTGCGTCGCCAAAGCAACCGTCGCTAAAATTAATATCTTTCGGGGAAACCGGATGAGTAATTTGGTGACTCGTGCAACCAGTGTGACGTGTGGTCCAGGAACTATGAATCCCAAGGAGGAATGGGTCTGTTTAGGCTTGGAAAGAGCATGGCTGAATATGTGAAAGGAGGTCCCATTGCTCTATAGCACGCTTCAGGTCACCTGCCATTCCTTTCCTGTTGTTTGAATCCACGGTTGGTCCCATGATGTCGTAGAGAAAGCACTTGGGCCAACTTGGGCTCTCTAGGTGTTTTGGACTCCAACTCCCACCATTCCTCACAGCCCCTTCCCTTTCCCCCTCAGCCGCTTAAGGGAAGAAGGAAAGGAAGGAAGGAAGGAAGGAAGGAAGGAAGGGAAGAAGGAAGGATGGATGGAAAGAAGGAAAGAATGGAGGAAAGAAAGATGGACAGAAGGAAGGAAGGAAATAAAGAAGGAAGAGAAGAAGGGAGGAAAGAAAGAAGGAAAGAAGGAAGGGAAGAAGGAAGGGAAGAAGGAAGAAGGAAGGGAAGAAGGAAGGAATGGAAGGAGGAAGGGAAGAAGGAAGGAAGAAGAAGGAAGGAAGGAGGAAGGAAGGAAAGAAGGGAAGGAAGGAATGGAGAGAGAAAGAAAGGAAGGAAGGGAAGAAGGAAGAAGCAAGAAAGGAAGGAAAATAAAGGAAGGAAGGAAAGGAAGAAGGAAGAAAGGAAGGAAGGAAGGGAAGAAGGAAAGGAAGAGGAAGGAAAGAAGAAGAAAGGAAGCAAGAAAGAAGGAAAAAAGGAGAAAGGAAAGGAAGGAGGAAGAAGGGGGAAGGAAAGAAGGAAGGAAAAAAAGAAGGAAGGAAGGAAAGAAGGAAAGGAAGGAAAGAAAAAGAAGGAAGGAAGGAAGGAAGGAAGGAAGGAAGGAAGGAAAAAAGGAAGGAAGGAAGGAAGGAAGGAAGGAAGGAAGGAAGGAAGGAAGGAAAAGAAGGAAGGAAGGAAAGAAAGAAAGAAGGAGAGAAGGAAGGGAAATAAGGAAGGAAGAGAAGAAGGAAAGAAGGGAGGAAAGAAAGAAAGAAGGAAGGAATTGATGAAGGAAAGAAGGAAGAAAAGGAAGGAAAGAAGGACTGAAAGAAGAAAGAAAACAGAAAGAAAATAGACAGAAAGGGACTCCAAGAGCCATCCAGCCCAACTCCCTTCTGCCACACAAGACACAACCAAAGCCCTCCCGCCAGAGGGCCATCCAGAGAAGGAGGAGGAGACTCCAACGACCGATTTCCAGGCCGGAGCAGCGTATCCCTATTGCGCCTCTCTCCTGCCTTTCCCTTCCCCAAACATTGAGTCACTGCAAAAGAGCTTGGTCTGTGTGTGTGTGTGTGTGTGTGTGTGTGTTTCAGAGCCAAAAGAATGAAAATTGAGTCCAGATGTGGCCCGAAAGCGGCCCCCGTGCCCGGCAGGCCACCCCGCGTTGCGCAGCTTGCAAACTGTGGCTCATGGGAGTGAGAGTGGAGTGGGTGTGCATGGACTCCTTCGACAGCGGGCTCCCTTTTGCAAAAGGCGATGCCAAGCGCCTCTTCCTCGGCCCCGCCATAAATACAGAGGAACTCTGCGGTTGCGCTCCACCCGCCGGCAGGATGTGCGCATGATTCACGCTTCCTGAAAGCAGCCCCCCCCCTCCAAGGAGGCACATGAGACCCATTACCAGAACCAGGGAGGAGGTGCCCGTGCCCCTTGCGCCTAAGGTTGCGGGGGAACTACAACTCCCATCGTGCCAGGCAGGGGCGGCGCAAGCATTACGCAAAGTAAGCCGTCGCGGTACACTTGATGTTGCCCAGGGGTGCTCTTGAGGCGCTCTTGGGGGGAAATAGACCTTGACATATGCGAGTTGTAGTTACTGGGATGTATAGTTCACCTACAATCAAAGAGCATTCTGAACTCCACCAATGGAGTTGGGGCAGGGGCGGCTCAACCCATACGCAAAGTAAGCCGTCGCGGTACACTTGATGTTGCCTAGGGGCGCTCTTGTGGGAAAATAGACCTCGATATGTGCGAGTTGTAGTTACTGGGATGTATAGTTCACCTACAATCAAAGAGCATTCTGAACTCCACCAGTGGAGTTGGGGCAGGGGCGGCTCAACCCATACGCAAAGTAAGCCGTCGCAGTACACTTGATGTTGTCCAAGGGCGCACTTGATGCACTCTTGGGGGAAAATAGACCTTGACACATGCGAGTTGTAGCTACTGGGATGTATAGTTCACCTACAATCAAAGAGCATTCTGAACTCCACCAATGATGGAACTGAACCAAATATGGCACACAGAACTCCCACGACGAACAGAAAATATATATCACTTGAAAATTACCTAGGGCCGCCAGGTTCGCCCCCAAAAACTCCATCCGTTCGCTCTGGATGCATCGTGGGTGGAGTTCAGTGTGCTCTCTGGTTATAGGGTGAACTACAACTCCCACTATGGTGGGTCAGTGCCCTCCAACCCTCCAGTAGGTTGACTTACTCATGGGGTGTATATGTGCCAAGTTTGGCCGAGGTCCATCACTGGTCGAGGTCACCGTTCCTCTGGTTGTGGGTGAACTACAACTCCCAGACATGAAGGTCAGTTCCCCCCAAATTCATCCATGGTGGGTCAGTGCTCTCCAACCCCTCCAGGAGGTTGAGTCAATCGTGGGGGTTCTGTGTGCCGAGTTTGGGTCAGGTCCATCATCAGTGGAGGTTACTGTTCCTCTGGTTGTGGGTGAACTACAACTCCCAGACATGAAGGTCAGTTCCCCGCAAACCCATCCAGTAATCAGATTTTAGCATATCAGGTCTGTGTGTCTAGTCTGGTTCAGGTCCATCATTGGTAGAGGTCACCGTTTCCCTGGTTGTGGGTGAACTACAACTCCCGGAAAGGAAGGTCGGTTCCCTCAAATCCCTCCATGGTGGGTCAGTGCCCTCCAACCCTTCCAGTAGGTTGAGTTAGTCACGGGGTGTATATGTGCCAAGTTTGGTCCAGGTCCATCATCGTGGTGGTCACCGTTTCCCTGGTTGTGGGTGAACTACAACTCCCGGAAAGGAAGGTCCGTTCCCCCCAAATCCATCCATGCTGGGTCAGTGCCCTCCAACCCCTCCAGGAGGTTGAGTCAATCGTGGGGTTCTGTGTGTCGAGTTTGGTTCAGATCCATCATCAGTGGTCACTGTTCCTCTGGTTGTGGGTGAACTACAACTCCCGGAAAGGAAGGTCAGTTCCCCCCAAAATCCCTCCACGGTGAGTCAGTGCCCTCCAACCCCTCCAGTAGGTTGAGTTACTCATGGGGTGTATGTGTGCCAAGTTTGGTCCAGGTCCATCATCAGTGGAGGTCACCGTTCCTCTGGTTTTGGGTGAACTACAACTCCCGGAAAGGAAGATACGTTCCCCCAAATCCCTCCACAGTGGGTCAGTGCCCTCCAACCCCTCCAGTAGGTTGAGGGTGAACTACAACTCCCGGAAAGGAAGGTCAGTTCCCCGCAAACCCCTCCAGTAATCAAATTTTGGCATATACAGGGTAAACTACAACTCCCACTATGGTGAGTCAGTCCCCTCCAACTCCTCCAATAGGTTGAGTTAGTCATGGGGGCGGGGGGGGGGGGGGTCTGTGTGCCAAGTCCATCATCGGTGGATTTCTCAGTTTCCCTGGTTGTGGGTGAACTACAACTCCCAAAAAAGGAAGGTCAGTCCCCGTCCCCCCCAAAAAGCCCTTCAGTAATCAAATTTTGGCATATCAGGTGTGTGTGCCAAGTTTGGTCCAGATCCATCGATGTTTGGTTTCAGTGCTCTCTCGGTGTAGATGAACTACAACTCCCCCAAATCAAGGTGAATTTTCCTCAGATACTCCCGGTCTATAATATTCAGTAACAATGCTCAACTTTGATAATAATGGTGATGGAATCTCTTTCTCTGGAGGTTCCAAGGCTGGGTGGCCATCTGTCGGGAGGGCTTTGATGGTGCCTTTCTGCAAAGCAAAGGGTTGGACTAGATAGCCTTTGGGGTCCCCCCCAAGTGTATCGCTCCATAATAGTAATAATGCTCATGTTTGATGATAATAATAATAATAATGATGGAATCTCTTTCTCTGGAGGTTCCAAGGCTGGGTGGCCATCTGTCGGGAGGGCTTTGATGGTGCCTTTCTGCAAGGGTTGGACTGGATGGCCTCTGGGGTCCCTCCCAAGTAGACTATTCAATAATAATAACGACGATAGAGCCTATTTCTCTGGAGGCAAATATATTATATAATAATAATAGAGCCTAGTTCTCCAGAGGCTTTTAAGCGAAGTCTGGATGGCCATCTGTCAGGAGGGCTTTGATGGCGTCTTCCTTTACAGCAGGTCAGGGTTGGACTGGATGGCCTTTGGAGTCCCTCCCAAGTATATCATATAATAATAACCAATATAGAGCCTATTTCTCTTGAGACTTTCAAGCCAAGTCTGGATGGCCATCTGTCAGGAGGGCTTTGATGGTGTCCTCCTTTACGGCAGGCCGGGGCTGGACTGGATGGCCTTTGGGATCCCTCCCACGTATAATATTCAATAATAATAACAATGGTAGAGCCTATTTCTCTGGAGGTTTTTAAAGTGAAGTCTGGATGGCCATCTGTCAGGAGGACTTTGATGGTGCCTTTCTGCAAGGGTAGGACTGGATGGCCTTTGGGGTCCCTCCCACGTATAATATTCAATAATAACAATAGCAATAACAATAATATCATGATGATAGAGCCTAGTTCTCTGGAGACTTTTAAGCCAAGTCTGGATGGCCATCTGTCAGGAGGGCTTTCATAGTGTCTTCCTTTACGGCAGGTTGGGGCTGGACTGGATGGCCATTGGGGTCCCTCCCAAGTAGAATATTCAATAATAATAATGATAATCAAGAATAACGATGATAGAGCCTATTTCTCTGGAGGCTTTTAAGCCAAGTCTGGATGGCCATCAGTCAGGAGGGCTTTGATGGTGCCTTTCTGCAAGGGCTGGACTGGATGGCCTTTGGGGTCCCTCCCACGTATAATATTCAATAATAATAACGATGATAGAGCCTATTTCTCTGGAGGCTTTTAAGCCGAGTCTGGATGGCCATCTGTCAGGAGGGCTTTGATGGTGCCTTCCTGCAAGGGTTGGACTAGATGGCCTCTGGGGTCCCTCCCAAGTAGAATATTCAATAATAATAATAATAATAATAATAATAATAGTGATTGAGCCTATTTGTCTGGAAGTTAGTAAGCAAAGCCTGGATGGCCATCTATCTGGAGGGCTTTGATGGTGCCTTCCCGCAAGGGTTGGACTGGATGGCTTCTGGGGTCCCTCCCAAGTAGAAGATTCAATAATAATAACAATGACTGAGCCTATTTGTCTGGAAGTTTGTAAGCAGTATTATTATTATCAAGCAGAAGCTGGATGGCCATCTGTCAGGAGGGCTTTGATGGTGCCTTTCTGCAAGGGTTGGACTGGATGGCCTCTGGGGTCCCTCCCAAGTAGAATATTCCACAATAATAATAATAATAATAATAACAATAATAATATTAATAATAATAATAATAATAATAATAATAGTGATTGAGCCTATTTGTCTGGAAGTTAGTAAGCAAAGCCTGGATGGCCATCTGTCAGGAGGGCTTTGATGGTGTCCTCCTTTACGTCAGGTTGGGGCTGGACTGGATGGCCTCTGGGGTCCCTCCCAAGTAGAAGATTCAATAATAATAACGATGATTGAGCCTATTTGTCTGGAAGTTTGTAAGCAATATTATTATTATTATTATTATTATTATTATTATCAAGTAGACGCTGGATGGCCATCTGCCAGGAGGGCTTTGATGGTGCCTTCCTGCAAGGGTTGGACTAGATGGCCTCTGGGGTCCCTCCCAAGTAGAATATTCAATAATAATGATACTAGAGCTTATTTCTCTGGAGGTTTTTTAAGTAAAGTCCGGATGGCCATCTGCCAGGAGGGCTTTGATGGTGCCTTTCTGCAAGGGTTGGACTGGATGGCCTTTGGGGTCCCTCCCAAGTAGAATATTCAATAATAATAATAATAATAATAATAATAATATCAATAATAATAGTGATTGAGCCTATTTGTCTGGAAGTTAGTAAGCAAAGCCTGGATGGCCATCTGTCAGGAGGGCTTTGATGGTGTCCTCCTTTACGTCAGGTTGGGGCTGGACTGGATGGCCTCTGGGGTCCCTCCCAAGTAGAAGATTCAATAATAATGATGATTGAGCCTATTTGTCTGGAAGTTTGTAAGCAGTATTATTATTATCAAGCAGAAGCTGGATGGCCATCTGTCAGGAGGGCTTTGATGGTGCCTTCCTGCAAGGGTTGGACTAGATGGCCTCTGGGGTCCCTCCCAAGTAGAATATTCAATAATAATGATACTAGAGCTTATTTCTCTGGAGGTTTTTAAAGTAAAGTCTGGATGGCCATCTGCCAGGAGGGCTTTGATGGTGCCTTCCTGCAAGGGTTGGACTAGATGGCCTCTGGGGTCCCTCCCAAGTAGAATATTCAATAATAATGATACTAGAGCTTATTTCTCTGGAGGTTTTTTAAGTAAAGTCCGGATGGCCATCTGCCAGGAGGGCTTTGATATTCAATAATAACAGTAGTAATAACAATA